ACCCACCCACCAGGCCATGTTCACTTGAAGATGTTTCTTGGGACAACAGTTCTGAGCTCCACCAGGTGATGATCTTGGTAAATGTCACAATATTATAATTTTGAGTTATCTGATACATTTTATCTGCAAAGCCCCTTCCCGTTGATTGTATAACATCGTATTTTTCATCTTTGTAACAGATATCTTAGTCCTAAAGAACCCCACCCATAACGTGCCCTCAAAGTCTATTCATCGTCAATCAGTTTCTCCTCCGTATCTGTTCCTTTCTTCTTCTCCAGCTCTCCATCTTCATCGGTAAAAGCATCCCCCTGGCCGTAGGCGAGTGTAGTGTGGGCCAGATCAACCTCGATAGGAAATATATCGGCCTCCTTCAGGACTTCATAGCACTGGTCGTTATATTTAGACATGGCAGAGACAAAGCGCTGAAGCTGAAATACAATATCTTGAACGTGTTTTTGGTCCAGAAGCTCGATCTTTTCCAAGACGTCTTTCCTCATTTTCGCAAAACGCGAGCGGGCCTCCTGACGACACCTCAGGATCAACCGGTACTCGTAATTTCCAGTGCTAACGCGGTACAGAGGCTCCCCCAGAGCTATGCTGCTGTACTCCTCATCGTCCATCTCTTTTACCTTCAAGCAGTAGGACAAGTACTCGAACTTCACATCGAGGTACTTCCGGATTGTTAGCTTGGTGTCAGGAATGGCTTTGTTAAGGTAGGTGTTTAGATCATTCAGCATCGGTTTTATGAGGTCTTCAAAAGGCTGATGCCAAATTTTTCGATGCTGCGGTGTGCGTCGGCAAACATCACGAAAGCTTCGCTTGCTGCCGGCTGAGGCTCTCGGACACCGATGACCGAAAACACGTCACCGAAAGCTCTGTGTGTTTTGCGAGAGTTCAAAAAATGCCCGCAGCAGGCGTTTGGTGTGCTCCATCATGCCTTTGTAAAACTCGGAGGTTTTTTCCAACTCTTCCAGTTTTTTCACCAAGCCATCGTTGCACAGGATGGCGCGACTCAAACCAAGGGCATCGGCAGTGCCTGAGCTCATGTTCTCCACCAGGCGATGCTTCACCTTCTTGAGTACGATATCCAGAGACTTGCCCTGCTTAGGGTCAGCTTGAAGCTTGTTGTAGTGAAGGGTGACTTCCCCTTTAACGTTTTGGATCATCTTGGCCACCTCGACTTTAGTTTTTCCTTTCACGGACTTCCCATTCACCCCGGTAATCTCGTCTCCAGCCGCAATGGTCCCGTCTAGCGCGGCAGGAGTATTGTCAAACACCTGCACGATGTAAAGACAAGGACAATGCTGGGCTCCTCCGCCGATGCTGATCCCGATGACATTCTGGGAATCTTTCTTAAGGGTGACTGTGCCGGGGACGGTTGGAATCCCAAGTTTGTCTTCGTCGAGGTCGTAATCATAATCCATCTCGCTTCGGCTGACGGTACGCCTTTCTCCTTATTTCGGGATGTCACAAAATCTCACGTCTACCCAGGCAGGAAGTATTGATGGAAGACAGGAAGTGATGTGTCCATACACACACAGCACGAGGGCGTGTTCACACGGCAAGACGGTTCTCGGGCCCGCGGCTCCTCTGAGCTCCACAAGGTGGTCTAACTTCTACCCAGACAGGAAGTCTCTATGGAAGACAGGAAGTGATGTCAGGTGTAAGTAGGAAGTTTTTGGTGAGAGGTGAGTTGGGAGGAAGTAGAAAGGAGACATTGCTGGAAGTGGCAGCAGAGGAGGTAATAGGATCTTATTTTCTATTTACACCCAGTAACCCCCCGTCGCGTCCGTCCTCTTCCTCCACCATCATGTCCGTCCTCGGCCTCCATCGTCACACCTGTCCTCTTCCTCCATGGTCTCGTCAGACCTCTTCCTCCATGGTCACGCCCGTCCTCTTCCTCCATGGTCGCGTCGGTCCTCTTCCTCCCATGGTCACATCCGTCCTTTTCCTCCATGGTCGTGTCAGTCCTCTTCCTCCATGGTCGCGTCCGTCCTCTTCCTCCATGGTCGCGCCCGTTCTCTTCCTCCATGGTCGTGCCCGTTCTCTTCCTCCATGGTCGTGCCCGTTCTCTTCCTCCATGGTCGTCCCCGTCCTCTTCCTCCATCGTCACATCCGTCCTCTTCCTCCATAGTTACTGTGATGTCTTTTATCTCCAGCAGATGATGATACACACATATATAGTGTGGGAACCCAGATTAACCCCTTCAGGGGCAGAACATTCCCCCACTTCCGGAGCCGGAACATTCTCCTCATGTGGAGATGTGCGGAGGATAGAAGTTTTCTTTAGACATAAAGGCCAAAGATTAAACGGTTCCCGGACACTAAAACACAAGAAACACTAAACTGAATGTAATCCCACTGAGGACCGTTCTTCCATGATAGAGACCCTCATATTATCCCCCCTCCCCCCCATCCTAATATTGTACAACCAGTACAGTCCGGATCATACTCTGTTATCAATTATTGGTCTACAGGAAACCTGTATAGATCACATGACCAATGAGGATGGAGGAGGACCGGAGTCACATGACTGAGAGGATACTAAACCTCACCCTGGAGATCATCTACCTGCTGACCGGAGAGGTGAGGAGGATTCTGGGAGGTCACATGACATCACTCTCATCTCTATTAATAAAAGACAGACCTGACCGGAGAGGTGAGGAGGATTCTGGGAGTCTAACATGATGTTCCTATTGGTTCCCCAATACAGAGATTTCCTCTTCTGAAGTCAGGTGATCATATGACCATCACAGTGCCTCCATGTGACTCCCTAAACCCTGAGAGACACAACATGCAGAAGATTCTAGAAGTCACCAAGAAGATGATGGAGCTGCTGACAGGAGAGGTGAGCTATGCCGGGAATTCTGGGACATTCTCCAGTAACAGACAAGGGATGTGTCTGGATGGTGACTGTATCATTGTGTGTGTCAGGTGCCTATAAGGTGTCAGGGTGTCACTGTCTATTTCTCCATGGAGGAGTGGGAGTATTTAGAAGGACACAAGGACCTCTACAAGGACGTCATGATGGACAATCAGCCGCCCCTCACATCACCGGGTAAGAGGAGACTTTATTGGAAAGGAGAGAGCAGTACGGAGGATCCACCTAGATCCCCCATCATCTGATAAACACATATAAACAATGGATTCAGTCATTGTGTGTGTTTCCTACAGATGGATCCAGTCATGGGAACCCACCAGAGAGATGTCCCCGTCCTCTGTATTCCTGGGATTCTATACAGGAAGGTCACACCATCCCTCACCATCATCAGGTAGATGGATCCAGTCATGGGAACCCACTAGAGAGATGTCCTAGATTGTAAGCTCGAAAGAGCAGGGCCCTTGATCCCCTCATGTTTTGCATTGTATTGGTATTGTTCTGTCACATGTTCTGTCTCCCTTTGTAATGTACAGCGCTGAGCGAACTATTGGCGCTTTATAAATACTGTATAATAATAATAATAATGTCCCCATCCTCTGTATTCCCGGGATTCCACACAGGAAGGTCACACCACCCTTCACCATCAGGTAGATGAGGAACAGTTATTGGTAGTTATGATTTATACACAGCATGTTTATTACAACAACTGTTTTATTATTTAGCATGGAAACCTCGGGGATTATAATATTGGTCTCAAAGAAGAGTATAAAGAGGAGGATGAGGAATATGGAGTGATGGAGGAACTTTCAGAAGGACACAAGGACATGATGGAGCCACCTAATACCAGGAACCCACCAGAGAGATGTCCCGTCCTCTGTATTCTTGGGATTCCACACAGGAAGGTCACACCATCCCTCACCATCATCAGGTCGGTGGAGTTGAGGGTCGGGAACATAAAGTGATGGAACACTCTGACATGTGGAGACGATGTGTGGACTCTACAAGATGAGATGTTCTATGTGATCTCACATCATAAATCCTTCTATGTTACAGATGTTATTTTCTGCCATTCTGTTGGTTTAGGGTGAAGATCTGATGAACATGAAAGTTGAGGGTGAAGTAGAAGAGACGTATGTGAGGGATGATCAGCAATATATGGAGGAGGCTGGAATGAGGAGGACATTCACAGAGGAGGACACTACTACAGAGATCAGCACAGGTGACCAGAATATATTCTTCTCTTATCTCTGCTCTGTTACCGCCCCCCGCCCCCATTTGTTCCTGCTCCTCTGACAAGGCGGAGTAAATGTAGAAGTGATCTGGAAGGAGGAGCAAAGGCTCTTTGACTGAAGAGGGGAGGAGTCCCGGCTGGTTGGGACATCCACAGAGAACATCTGCTCCCTCCTATCTCCCTGATCCAGATGGAATCTTGATGGAAGTGAACTAACCCTCTCCTATCTATTGATGATGTTTTTCTATTTTTCCAGGACCCGCCATGGAGAAACCCTCAAAGGATCCTCTCACTTTATCTCCAGGTTGTAAAATGGAAGATGAGGACATCACAGGAGATTGTGTCGGAGAAAAGACAATGAGCTCCACTATGGATGGTGGACTTCCCAGTGTGGAGAGACCATGGAATCCCTCGGACTCTGAGCAACCTCGTACTGCGGGGGATGGTGGAGGGATTAGGGGAAAAGGTGTGGAAAGTTTTAGCTCTGAATTAAGTCTTACTAGACATCAGAGATCTCAAATAGGTGAGAAGGTACATTTCTGTTCCGAGTGCGGGAAATGTTTTATTCAGAAATCCGAACTCACCAAACATTACAGAACTCACACGGGGGAGAAGCCGTTTTCCTGCTCTGAGTGCAGAAAAAGTTTCTCACAGAAGGTTAATCTTTCCAGACATCAGAGATTACACACGGGGGCAAGGGCGTATGTCTGCCTTGAGTGCGGAAAAAGTTGTGCGAAGAAATCAGAACTCATTATCCATCAAAGATCCCACACAAGCTTAAAACCTTATTTCTGTCCTGAGTGCGGGAAATGTTTTTCACATAAGTCCTTTTTTTTCCAGACATCAGCGACTGCACACGGGTGAGAAGTTTTTTTGCACTGAGTGCAGGAAATATTATTCACAGAAATCAGAACTTGAAGCACATCAGAGATCTCACACGGGGGTAAAGCCGTATTCCTGTCCTGTGTGCGGGAAAGGATTTACACGCAAGTCCCATCTTTACACGCATCAAAGACTGCACACGGGTGACAAGCTGTATACCTGCTCTGAGTGCGGGAAAGGTTTTTTAAGTCTGTCCCATCTTAACCTACATCAGAGATTACACACGGGTGAGAAACCCTATCCCTGCCCTGAGTGCGGGAAATGTTTTTCACAGAAACCCCATCTTGACAGACATCTTAGATCTCACACGGGGGAGAAGCCGCATTCCTGCCCTGAGTGTGGAAAATGTTTTTCAGAGAAATCCAACCTAGCTGCACATCAGTTATCCCACACGGGGGAAAAGAGGTTTTCCTGCCCCGAGTGCGGGAAATGTTTTTCACGGAAATCAGAACTTGTCAGACATCAAAAGTCTCACACGGGGGAGATTTCATATTGCTGCTCGGAGTGCGGGAAAGGTTATTTAAAGAAATCAGAATTTATTATACATCAGAGATCTCATACGGGGGAGAAGCCGTATTCGTGCCCTGAGTGCGGGAAATGTTATACAAAGAAGCCCAATCTTAACAGACACCTGAAATCCCACACAGCCCTCGAGGTGCATTAGTGTCCTGAGTGCGGGAAATGTCTTCTATAGGGATGATATGTTGCAGTACATCAGTGGGAATGGATGCATTGCATTAGGAGGGGGCGTGGTTACAGAAAGCCTCCCCCTTCCTTGTATCCATAAAATATATTTTATTAGCTGTACCCAAGGTGAGATTTTCGGACCAGCATACTCCTCGGCACAATGACCCCTTCCATTACATGGGCTTCTGATGTCACACGCAGAGCAGACGCTTTCCCAGAGCCCACCCTACAGAAGGCATTCATTAGCACAGTCAGGCTCTGCATTGCAAACAGCAAATGGGGAGACAACCAGTATAGTGTGCAGGAGTCTGTAATGGAGACAGGAGAACATGACACTCAGGGGGCAGGAGGACATAACACGCAGGGGTCCGGAAGACATGACACGCAGGGGTCAGGAGGACATGACATGCAAAGGTCAGGAGGACATGACACGCAGAGGTCAGGAGTCAATGAAACGGAGAGGTCAGGAGGACATGACATGCAGAGGTCTGGAGGACATGACACGCAGAGGTCTGGAGGACATGACACGCAGAGGTCAGGAGAACACGACACGCAGAGGTCAGGAGGACACGACACGTAGAGGTTAGGAGGACACGACCCGGAGAGGTCAAGAGAACATGACACGCAGAGGTCTGGAGGATAGGACACGCAGAGGTGAGGAGAACACGACACGCAGAGGTCAGGAGGACACGACACGGAGAGGTTAGGAGCAAGTATATGATCCAAACGCACACGTTCCTGCGTTAAAAATGGCTGTGTGTATGAGTGGGTGCTGCAGTGACCGTCGGCTGGAACCAAACAGAATCAGCAAGGAAAAAATGTCACCAGCACACCGAGGATCACCAATATGGGTCCAAAGGTTTTAATAAACCATCACATAGTTACAGCAAGGCACAGGCAAAGACGCATCTGGAACGCATCTCGACTACGTATTCATAGTGCGAACCAGCCCTGAGAATGATGATAATCAGTCCATGAATGGAGCTGGGGAAAAGTGAAAGAAAAGGGAGTGATAAAATGGAAAAGAGGCTAGAAAAAAAAAAAAAAAGGAATGTATAGAGGTGACACAGCTCACCTACTTGCAGGAAGAAAGAGAGAGACCACTGTGAATAGTGCAAATGTGAAAAATCTAAACCAAAAGTTATCTACAAAACTATATACACTTCAATCATGAGGAATCATCATAACCAAAGTTCATCTGCGATCCAAAAAGCACAAATATGATGTGTTAGTATTAAGTCCCCTCGGTTGTGTTGTGTCAAGGGTATGGATCCAATAAGCTTCACGACGGAGGAGGAAGTTGTCACGATCTCCTCCTCTCGCCAATCGACTGACGTGTTCAATAGTCATGCCCCTCAATTCATGTACCTGGTGTCCTGCCGAAATAAAATGGACTGCTACGGGTTTGCTCAAATCAATGGGTTCACCTTTGGTACTCTTGACTAGAGCTGTCCTAATGTCACTCCTATGTTTCTGAAATCTTCGCTTAAAGGGACCTTTTGTTTTGCCCACATAAACTAGTGAGCATGGGCATTTCAGAATATAAACGCAGTGATCGGTGTTACAGTTCAGGTAACCCTGTATCTGGGAACGTTTCCCACTGTGGGGATGTGTGAAATATTCCCCACAGATCAATGAGTTGCATACATTACAATTGTAACACTTATAGCAACCCTGTCTTTCTGAGAACTTGAATACTGCCTTAGCGTATTTGGTCCTAGGGTCCGCTTGAACTAATAAGTCACGTAGGGATCTACCTCGCTTATGCGCCATCAATGGTGGATTCTTTAAGTCGGGTGATAGAGTGTCATCAGCTCTAAGGGCCAAGCTCATTTCACTTCACTCTGATTGGTGGATGGTTTTTTTAAATAGTTCTCCAGTTTCTATCACGATTTGTCACATGCCTGATGAAGGGCTCCTGCGAGACTCCGAAACGTTGCCTTGCTGTAACTATGTGATGGTTTATTAAAACCTTTGGACCCATATTGGTGATCCTCGGTGTGCTGGTGACATTTTTTCCTTGCTGATTTGGAGAGGTTAGGAGGACACGACCTGGAGAGGTCAGGAGGACACGACCCAGAGAGGTCAGGAGAACATGACACGCAGAGGTCAGGAGGACAGGACACGCAGAGGTCAGGAGGACAGGACACGCAGAGGTCAGGAGGACATGACACGCAGAGGTCTGGAGGACATGACACGCACAGGTCAGGAGGACATGACACACACAGGTCAGGAGCACATAATACGCAGAGCTCAGGAGGACATGACACACAGAGGTCAGGAGGACATAATACGTAGAGGTCAGGAGGACATAACACTCAAGGGTCAGCAGGACATGACATGCAGAGGTCAGGAGGACATGACACGCAGGGGTCAGGAGGACATGACACGCAGGGGTCAGGAGGACATGACACGCAGGGGTCTGGAGGACATGACACGCAGAGGTTAGGAAGACATGACATGCAGAGGTCAGGAGGACATGACACGCAGGGGTCTGGAGGACATGACACGCAAAGGTTAGGAAGACATGACACGCAGAGGTCAGGAGGACATAACACGCAGAGCACAGAGGTCAGGAGGACATAACACGCAGAGGTCAGGAGGACATAACACGCAGAGAATAGGGGTCAGGAGGACATAACACATAGAGCACAGGGGTCAGGAGGAAATAATTCACAGAGCGCAGGGTTCAGGAGTACAGAACATACAGTGCACAGGGTAAGGAATACATAACACAGAGCACAGGAGTCAGAAGTACTTCTGACCCCTGTGTGTACGAACAAAACAAAAAAATGGGCAGGCTCAATGGACCACTCGGTCTTTTTCTGCCGTCACTTTTCTATGTTTTTATAACACAGAGAACACAGGGTTCAGGAGTACACAACAGAGGGAAGGGGTCAGGAGTACACAACACATCGAGTGTAGGGGTCAAGAGGACATACACACAATGGCCAGGAGTACAGAACACACGGAGCGCAGAGGTCAGGAGTGCAGGACACGCATAGCACAGAGGTCAGGAGTACAGAACACACTGGTCAGGAGTGAATAACACACAGAGCACTTGGGTCAGGAATGCACAACACACAGAGGTCAGGATTACAGAACACACAGCGCAGAGGGACACACAGCACAGAGGTCAGGAGTGCAGGACACACAGAGGTCAGGAATGCAGAGTGCAGAGGTCAGGAGTGCAGTACACACATAGCGCAGAGGTCAGGAATGCAGGACACAGCACAGAGGTCAGGAGTGCAGGACACACAGCACAAAGGTCAGGAATACAGAGTGCAGAGGTCAGGAGTGCAGGACACAGCGCAGAGGTCAGGAGTGCAGGACACACAGAGCACAGAGGTCAGGAGTGCAGGACACACAGAGATCAGGAGTGCAGGACACACAGAACGCAGAGGTCAGGTGTGCAGAACACACATAGTGCAGAGATCAGGAGTGCAGGACACACAGAACACAGAGGTCAGGAGTGCGGGGTCACAGCGCAGAGGTCAGGAGTGCAGGACACACAGCACAAAGGTCAGGAATACAGAGCGCAGAGGTCAGGAGTGCAGGACACACAGACCGCAGAGGTCAGGCGTGCAGGACACACATAGCGCAGAGATCAGGAGTGCAGGACACACATAGCGCAGAGATCAGGAGTGCAGGACACACATAGTGCAGAGGGCAGGAGTGCAGTACAGAGCACAGGGGTCAGGAGTGAATAACACACAGAGCACATGGGTCAGGAATACACAACACACGGGGACAGGAGGACAGAACACACAGAGCTCATAGGTCAGGAGTACAGAACACACAGCGCAGGGTTCAGGAGTGCAGAGCACATGGGTCAGGAATACATAACACACATAGCGCAGAGGTCAGGAGTACAGAACACACATAGCGCAGAGCACAGGAGTACAGAACACACACCACTGGGGTCAGGAGTAAAGAGCACAGGGGTCAGGAGTTAATAACATACAGAGCAGAGGGGTCGGGAGTTAATAACATACAGAGCACAGGGATCAGGAGGACATAACACACAGAGCCCAGGGGTCAGGAGGACATGGGCGGTTCTGTAGAACTGAAACATACAACGGTACTTGTGCTCATAGCTCATAAAATCAGAATAAATACGTTCCATCAACCTACAACTAAGATTTTAGAATTAATTTGAGAGAAAATCCCTCCAGTCTTAAATATTCTTTGGAGTCTACCACGTGGGATGACCGTGGTACCCTTCTAAGTCTAGAGGTACCCCCTTTATAACATCTGTAGGGGGGTCATTAGCAGTTAGGCGTCAACCTCAACTCCAACAAATTCAAAATTGTGAACGTGTTTCTAACCTGCTGGTTGCTACTTTTGTGAAATATTTGTAATACCAAAGAACTGAGAGAATATCTATGGTATCATACCACCCCTCAAAAAAAATAAAAGGAAGACTTTGTAATCCGAGTCTAGCATCAAGTCTATGACACTCCTGGGATATGGATCTGGTCAGGTAAGTCGCAGAGGGGGTCGTTCATCGGTTTCAGCTGCTTTGTTGTTCATGAAATTAACAACAGGGGCACTAGATGGGCAACAATGAGACAACCCCCAAAACAGGAATGGTTTTACAGGTGGAAGCCACTGACATTTTTTCCCTCCTCATCTTTTCTGACTGTTTTTCACTCGTTTTGCACTTGGCTAGGGTCAGTGTCACTACTGGTAGCATGGGGCCATACCTGGACCCTACAGAGGTTGCACAGGCAGTCCAACTCCTCCAGGATGGCACATCAATATGTGCCATTGCCAGAAGGTTTGCTGTGTCTCCCAGCACAGTCTCAAGAGCATGGAAGAGATTCCAGGAGACAAGAGCATGGAGGAGATACCAGGAGACAGGCAGTTCCTCTAGGAGAGCTGGGCAGGGCCGTAGTAGGTCCTTAACCCATCAGCAGGAC